CACATATCTTCAAAAGCATAAATAAATCTTTTAAGTATTTTTTGGCATTTTTCTAATACAAAATATATTATTTGTAGATTTTTAGTTATAAAAATATGTGATGTGCATAAGTTCATGGAACATACGGCTATCCTTAAGATAATATATATAGCTATTATATGTTGTACATTAAAGTTATAAAATATTTACTTAAATATTTAGAATTATTATTAGTAATAATCGTAGAAAAGATGAATGTTATAAAGAGGTAATTTTACAAAGAGCGTACCGTCATAAAGATGGTTATTACTGTTATAGTCAGAATGTTGTTACAGAGAGGTAAAATATAACATAAAAATTCGATTCTGAAAAAACTAGACTTTTATAGTGAATGACTTTTATATAGGGATGCTATTATAGAGAGGTGTGATTGTAGAACTTGATGATAAATTAGGATGGGAAAGTTAGTCAAATTATAGTTATTTGCATTAATGGTAAACCGATTAGGAAGTAGTAGGTATACCATAGAATAAGTTAAAATGTATTTAAGCTGATCCGAAAATCACAATTACATTATTAAAAAATTAAAACAACTGCTACTAAGAAATTAAAATAAGGGAGACAATTATAATACTGCAAACTACTACCAAGGAGATAAATGGTATGAATCCAAACTTGGAGAGAGAGATATTTGAGATTATCCCTGAACGATATTTTATCATGTTTCTCTTCTAACACCCCAATTTCGGAGAAATCAAAGTTATCGAAGTAATTGCATGTGCATATTATACTACTCCAGATATATATAACTGATGTGACAAAAAAACATGCTTTTCCAACCAGAGAATATATTTGCTTATAACAATGGGCATTGGGACTCTGGTCCTTATATTCAAAAACACTAAAATATCCAAAGTTAAAGTTACATATATAAGGAAAGAACCCTCGTGGATATTACTTTTCCAACCAAAGAATAATTGCTTAAACAATGCTACAGTGTGAATGATGGTTTGGTCACACTGACCATGATTCTTCATTTCTATATGCTTCAAATGACTCTCTAATTCTTTATGAGCCAATCAGATCCAATTTAATATCTTATCTTAGAGCTATAATTATAAATATAGTCTTATATCGCTTGCTGATATCATTACACCGATACTTTATCATAATCCAAGTGCTTATGATAGGAACAGTTTCTGCAGTAGACTGCATAATTGCTAGTACATATTGAGGGTTCAAATTTTATATAGTAACAGTATCATAATCATAAAAGTATATTTACAAAATTAAGTCACTTGTAAGGTATACATACGTAAAATCTCTATGAATAATTATCTCGATTTGTAACCTGATAAAAATAATATTAACATGTTATATGTTAAATCACACTTATAATATATTAAAAGTATATATCGCTTACATTAAAAATTCACTTATACTAGCAAGTAGCAATGCACATCCGGTCAAAATGGAGTACTAGACGTCCATTTATAGACTAACCGTACGTACATGCTTTGTCATGAAAAGAAAAAGATCGACAAAGAAAAATATCAAAAGAAACCAATCAATGCACTCATTTAAGGACTGACTTTAGCGTTAGGAAAATAGATTGCCCGTATTTCACACTCACATGTGTCATACATTTATAATAACAAAAACCTGAACCTTGCCGCACCACCTAAAAGTAAACTAAAGTAACTTTATTAAATTAAATAATTATAAAAAATATTAAATTGTGCTTTAATTTAAGTACTTTTCCTTACAAGCTGTATGCTAAAAAGATAAGGAGGGAGTGGCCATTATTCTTGGTTTTTAGTCTATATAAGAACACCGGCAATGAGAAGATCCATAGAACAACTGAAGCTCACTACACACTTGTACTAAGCCATGGCTACTAATTCCTCTCAACCATTGTTAGACACTCCCAAAACAAAATCCTCCTCTTCTAAAGCTCTCTATATTCTTCTGTCCTTAGCTGCTATTGTGGGCTCAGTTGGATTAGTTTCAATCTGGGCCATCAATGGCAGCAGCTCATCAATTTCCTTGACAGCCCATGTTTGTGATCAGGCCCATGATCAGCCATCTTGCTTGGCCACGGTGTCTGAGGTTGCACCTGCTGGTTTGATGGATACCACGACAGTGGATTTGTTACAGATGGTTTTGCATAAATCATCGTTAAAAATCCATGAGACGATCGATTTAGTGAGCAATGTGAACGGTCGGATTAATAATGACAACGAGCAAGCAGCTCTAGCAGATTGTCTAGAGTTAATGAATTTGTCAAGGGACAGATTAATGGACTCCATGATGGCACTGGGGAACCTATCGGCCCAAGCCCATTTTGACGTCCATACATGGCTAAGTAGCATTCTGACCAACCATGCTACATGCATGGATGGGCTAAACGGTCAGGCCCAGTCCATTATGAAGCCCATGTTGAAGGATTTGATAGTAAGAGCAAAGACTTCCTTAGCCTTGATGGTTAAAATGACACCATCTAATACCATGGATCTTCCATCAGTTACTGATGGATTACCCTCATGGGTTACTTCTAATGATAGAAGGCTTTTGCAACTATCTGCAAATGCCATAAAAGCCAATGTAATAGTGGCCAAAGATGGTAGTGGAAAATATAAGACTGTAAAGGAAGCAGTTGCATCAGCTCCAGATAATAGCAAGACTCGTTATGTTATATATGTGAAAAAAGGAATATACAAAGAGAATGTTGAGATTGGGAAAAAGAAGAAAAATGTGATGCTTGTTGGTGATGGTATGGATGCTACTATTATCACTGGCAGCTTGAATGTTGTCGATGGTTCAACAACCTTCAAATCTGCAACTGTTGGTAAGTAGTATATTCTTTCTCCCCATACTGTCTTGACTTATTTAGTACTCCCTTCATTATCATCCATATATGTTACTTTTTATTTTTTGAGATGAACTTTGATTAATATTTTAATATATTTATTCATCATATCAAAATATTTAAATTTTCAATAGCTTAGAAGATTAGTGAAATTAATTTTTGAAAAGCGAAAAGTAACACTTATTTTGGGACTGAATATCAATTTCAGTTTAGCTTTTGAAAAATGAAAGCTTTGTAGCCTGACAAAGAAGTTTAGAATTCAAGAGCCTTACGGACACTTTTGGTAAATGTTTCCTAAGAAAAAGGTTTATGCAGAAAAAACCTGTTTGAGAAGTTGGAATCTTTAATTTGTGGGTGAAAAAAGAATTTTGAAAAAAGTCCTAAAATTGTTTGCGGGATAACAGTTTTCTTACGATATATTTTTGGTACAATAGTGTTTCCAAGGACAGATGCCGTGTATCAATTGGGGCTTGAACAACTTGTTGGTGGTGATAACATATGCAACCTTTAATCTTAAAATGTCACCAGGGGCCTTAGGCCGAAGCTAAGAGATCTAAATGCCACATTCATCTAATGAGAACCTAAGTTATTTTAATGCAGCTAATGAAAGTTTTCTTTCTCAATTGGGGCTTGACTTTTAAATGGTTAGCTAATTCTTTTTCTTTTTTTAAATACAGCTGCTGTTGGGGATGGATTCATAGCCCAAGATCTGCGGTTTCAAAACACAGCAGGAGCAGCAAAACACCAAGCAGTAGCACTTCGTGTTGGAGCAGATCAATCAGTCATCAATCGTTGCAAAATAGATGCATTCCAAGATACCCTCTATGCCCACAGCCTCCGCCAATTCTACAGAGATTGTTACATCGCTGGCACTGTTGATTTCATCTTTGGTAATGCAGCAGTCGTGTTCCAAAACTCAAAAATCGCAGCACGAAAGCCCGGGCCTGGACAAAAGAACATGGTTACAGCCCAAGGTCGTGAAGATCCAAACCAAAATACAGGAACTTCAATCCAAAATTGTGATATTATTGCTACCTCAGACCTTGCACCAGTGAAAGGGTCCGTTAAGACATATTTGGGCCGTCCATGGAAAGCGTACTCACGAACTGTATTTATGCAGTCCAATATTGGAGACCATATTGACCCAGAGGGTTGGTCAGTATGGCAAGGTGATTTTGCCTTGAAAACTTTATATTATGGTGAGTATATGAACAAAGGACCTGGAGCTGGAACTAGTAAGAGAGTGAAGTGGCCTGGTTATCATATTTTAAATGCAGCAGAGGCGAGGAAATTCACAGTGGGTCAGCTGATTCAAGGAGGAGCATGGTTGAAATCCACTGGTGTGGCTTACACTGAGGGGTTGTGAGAAACTTTGTTAATCTAACCATGTTCAAGTGTTGCTAGTTTCTGAGCCGTAGTATGTTGGTTGTAATGTTTCTGCTGTTGTTTTGGTTCAATAAAGTATGGGTGCATAATTTGGTAAATATGGAATCACCAAATTTTTTGGTATTTGGTATTCGACATTTTGGTATTCAGTATGGTATTTGGTTTAAATTTTAAAAAAAAAATTGGTATTTAATATTTTAAAATGAAATACCGAAATATATATTATATTACACAATATACATATTATTAATTATAACATAATATAAAAAATCTAAAATTTTACTTTCTTTTATTTTCTAAGTTCATCAATTAACTCTAAGCAAGTAACAAAACATTTCTAATGATCAAACTTATTTCTTTATGTACACTCTGGGTTGATATTTGCTGGTTTTGGACAAAACTTTTGACAACAAATATTTTTAGTTTTGTACTTTCGAGTACTTTAATTAAGAATATTACAGTCTATGACTCTATGCACTAGTTAGTATTCAAATCGAGTAAACCGAAGTTACCGAATTGAATAAATCGAAACCAAAAGGAGAAAAAACGAACCATGCCGAATTTAATTAGATGCGGTATTGGTATAGCATTTTAAGAAACCGAATACCGAACCGAAATGTATACGTACCGTACCGACCAACTACAATAAAGTAAACGGCTATCACTAATCATGATATATTTATTGAGAAATATGGCTTAGTTTATATAATGATGCAAAAAGAGTTGGAACATAAAAAAAAACAATTAAGGGCCAAAAGATCATAAATTGATACTCAACTGCAAATTCTTTATCCAATATATGCATCTGTGATCCACTACTTTTTCTTTCTTTTTAAAAAAAAGGGTCAATCAAATTATAGTAGTCTTGTAGGAAATGACTCCATGCTTTAATTTTGCCCAGAATATGAAGGTAAAAGACAAACTTGAAGTGGTTGCAAATAGAATAAATGACATCTGATATTACAAAAGCGATAAGCAAATCAACAATGTGATGCTCCAATTCCATTGTTAAGGAAGCACCACATCAATTCAAATGACAGCAAACGATTTTCTCTCTTCAACATTTCCTTCACATTAACACTGGTTTTCTTTTATCTTGATTAACATTTTATCCATACAAACGCTGAACTAGCCATAGTTGAGGCGAAATATGTCATTCTGCACAAAGAAACTTCCTTCCATAGTTGGGATCAAGTGAAACATCTGCAGAAAATGCATTGCAAACAAGATATTTAGCCTTTTTTTATTCCAGTAGTTCATTGCTCGGTTCAGATAGAGTGAAAACCAAATGTTTCAAATACGTAGGACTTTGTTTGCACACGCAACAAATATAGAATCATACACTTAGATAACATATATGGAGGAAAGAGAGAAAGAGAGACCTGGCTGAACCTCAGGGGATAGTCCTCTCCAAGAAGTTGAATGCTACCACTGACAAAGACTATGATCCCTCCGGAAAAGGACGAAGGTTGAGAATCAATGGTGCTAATCGCATGCCTGCATTGTCCAAAGGGCAATGCATTAAGCTTAGCAGATATATCTTCACTTCCCTGCAACTTTTGGCCCTCAAATGAGAGCATTGAACTTGGTTGATACAGAGTACCAATCGACGATCGATCATTGTCAAAGAGATTGTAGTAGTGATCCACAAATGCTCTTCCTACCATTTCTGATTGTTCTTCCATTTCTTCTTTCAAATTCTCAACTAATTTTCAATGTCCTGTTTAAATTTCAAGGACAAAGAGGGCAAGGTTTGAGAGAATATAAGAAAGTAAATGGTTTGGCCATCAAGGAAAGAATATATAGGAAAAAGAAAAATGTAAAAGAGCATCTAAGCTGCTGCATGGATACGCAATTTCATGAAAAGGGGAAAACAAAAGAACAGGATAAGTCTTAAAGAATTGAAATTCATATGCACCTTTTTTACACAAGGAAGGAAAAGGAAAGATGGGGCTGTTAAAAACTAGCAAGATCTGCTGAAGCAAACCGACCATCAGGCTTTTTGGCCAACAAAATTTTTTTTTCTTTTAAAGTTTTTTGCTGCACATTAGTGCTTTCAAGATTCAATGTACGTAAGCAAATACTAATATGTGAGTGAAGGAAGGGGGTGAAATTGGCTTGAGAATGGGAGAAACAACAGAACGCTACACATGAAATGATGACTAGATTGCAGTATGGGTCACTAAAGATTGTTCAAGGGAATATATTCTTTGCTGAACAATGACCAACTTTATATCTAAAAGTGAAAACACGCTTGCCACTCACTTCCCCTTTTATGCCAGAAAAAAACATAAGGTGGACGGTGGACCTCAATAGCTTAATCAGCATATCCCAGATCAAAGTTACTGATATAACATTTCATCTTTCTCTATCTTTCTTGGTGGTAGAGTAGTTCTTAAGCAACATTTCTTTAAAAATATGCATCTAAATAGCTTATATCACTACGTTAAAGAAAGACAACTACTCCAATTAGTTTTTCCTTACTCTGTTTATGGAATCATTTTTCTCAATAGCCACGCCTAAAGGTCTCTCAGCAACAATAGCATAATAGTGTGGCTAAGATTAAGAAGCGATAAAGAATACTGATAATCTTATATGATCACCGAGGTTCTGGAATTGTTCAAATGAGATTAAGATAGTGGTTTCGAAACAACATAATGTTCATTGGTTTCCTCGGATCTTATGATGAACAATCAATAAGCCACTGAATCCCCCTATATGAAGTGCTTATAACTTTATTTACTTCCTCCTTGCTATTCCAATTGAAAGCGTTGATAAGTGTATATGGAATATTTGCTTATCCTCCACTTTTACATCTTAACCAGAGGAAATAGCACTTATATTTCCTCTTTTATATCCGGTCTAGCTATCTATCCCTTCTTGTTGCCATCCAAGGAGAAATATGTTCAGTTAACAAGAACATTATATCAACCTTATTTTGCACCTTAGTACCTTAAAAACACACACTAGCTTTCCTCTCTTTTATAGAAAGTTCAATTTACATACTCGATTTATGACAGAAACAAGTTTCCAGAAAATTACTAGTAGTAATTTTGAGTTAGTAAGCTAAAGAAGGAAGCATGAGTCACAGTTCAGAAGTAAAAGATCCAAGGACCATCCTTCTCTCGTTTAGAACCTTTCAAAGTACTATATGCAAAATTGCAATTAATTAAATGCAAAGAAATTTGTTAGACATATGGAGAAGAAAAGAGCATGTCAACAACTATTCAAGTTATCATCCCCTTTTTGCTTTAATTGAAGTGTAGTGTACCATTTTCCGCAGCAAATGTTATGTCAAAGTAATCCAAGATATGCAGCATCAGAATCAAGCAGATTAAATTCCTATGCCACTTACATACCGATTTACCTTTTGCGGGGAAAGAATATGAAAGTGCCTATTCCTCAAAACTCAAGAAAAGCAACTGCCACGCTCTAAAGTCTATGTGATCCCACCAAAATATATCAGCTGTTTCTGATTTTAATTAGTCAATCTTTTATACTTTCTACTCTTCTTTTTCTCCCAGATATCAGATTCTTTGCCTTGTCTGACAACTGATGCTAACTTCTTTAGCTCTCCAAGTGAGGCCACTCTCCATAATCATACTATATGGTTTTAATTTGCTAAAGACTAGTGCTGGTGGTTGGAAAGTAAATATTCCTTTCTTGGTGCAATGTCTGCTAAAAAACAATATATAAATTTATGGAAGGCCTCTCACCTCTTAGAGGTAGCAACTCCAGGTCTTTAACTATTTACACAGTAATTACCCTCATCTTGCCTGAATTATGATAAACCATTTACATATTAGGCACTGAAATGGATGCTAATAAGTGGTGATCACAGTCTGTGATGATCATGTAAGTAACTAAAAACAGTAATTTTGAGAGACGTAAAACGTGTAATTATTGATATACAGAGTGCAAATTCTAGCAAAACATATTTCAAAACTTCAACTGGCACATACATGCTTCACTACAGGTACAAAGATCCATAAATCTAAGCTGAAACTTATCAGTCAACTATTATTGGTTGAGTATAAACTACTACAGACCTAGATCTTACCTAAGAGAATACCAGCTAAATGTATCGGCTATAGAAACTACATTGCTACATCCAACTTGAAGGCCAATAAGCATGAACACCATATCCAGTCTTCCAATTATCCAAGTAAATCACCTTCTTTACTGCCCAAAATGAAACGATGAGCCCAAAAGCCATAAACAACCTCTGCGCTGTCCTGTTCTTCACAAAAACCAAAACATGAGTCATAAATGCCAATAACAATCCAACAACCATGTACAAGAATCCAACAGCAAAACCTTCAGTCCCTAACTGCATCCCAGATGCTTGGTAAAAGAAAATCATCTTCGAATTCCCTGCATCATTCCTATCCTCCAAATACATCGGCACTTTCCTAATTATACTATGCATTGTCCCTGAAACACTAAAAAAGTACACGAAAATCGACCCGGTCATCCACATATACTTATCATGCAATAGGGTTTTTCCAGAAATAATCTTTTTCACCAAAAATGGACTCCAAATCAAGAATACACCACCAATAGCAGCCATCATTTTCTTGGAAATTGCTGGGGGTCGATGAATGGGACCCACATTAACCTCCACATTCGCCTCTACAAACTCCTTCATCGACTCAGCTCCCCTTGAATAACCGGAAGCATCCATTGGAACACTATCCCTTTTCAAATCCGTTAAAAAAAAGGGTAATAACCGAATATGGGGTAAAGACTTGAGTTCAAACAAGGCGAAAGAAGATTGAGATTCTTGAAACTCAATGACGAAGAAGAAGATGTGAGTGTTGTTGCTGTTTTTGGGGTGGTTGACGAGGAAAGAAAAGGAGAGAAGGGAGAATTCACGCTTGAAAGCAGGGAGATTGATGTCGGGTTTCGAGTGGAGCTGTTTGGCGTCAAAGAAAATGAGGGAAGAGAAAGGTTTAGGGGAAGGGATAGAGAGGATGCGTTGGAGAAGGGAGTCATTGAGGTGGATAACGCCGGTGGGTGATTGTGATCGGAGGTTGATCAGTTCGGAGAGTAAGTCGTCAGAAGAATTGGAATGAGTGTATATGGGTGCAAGGAGAAAGAGAAGAGTGATGAGTAGAACAGATGATGGAGAGATTGCCATTGTTAGTTAGATTGATGAGAAAATATGGAGGGTTTCATGCATGCAGAAACAGAAATGTTGAGAGTGTATGTGTTGGAAGAGCAAGATATGGGTCTGTGGTTTGATTTTGGGTCGGGTCTTATTGACTGAGTAAGATTTGTATGTGGATACACAGATTACAGACACGTAAGAATACTTGAATGGTAATTGGTAAGAGTGGAAGTTCCACGAACTGTAGGAAACTTTATACTGGAAGTTGTTACTGAAATTGCATTCCTAGCCTACAACACTCCAAAATGGATTTGGGTTTTAGAATTTTTTTTTTTTAAATTCAATCAGATTATTAAGAAATAAAAATATCTATTTTTAGTGAATTTAAACATAATTATTTATTTTTAATTTTCAATACTTCCATCGAAATACGCATACTATTCATTTTTAAAATCAACTCAAGCACCTAAACGTTGTCTTTCAGCACTTGGTGTTTTAAAGATACTATTGTTTAGCTAAAGCTAAACAGAATAAAATCGTGTAACCGAGGGAAATGTTAGAATCAATGAAGACGAAAAAGCATATATGCAGTTGCGGATGCGCATTCTCTAATCATAAGCTTGATCTTTCCCTTATTTCTAATATATAAAATGTCAAACTTTTTTCTTTTTTTTTAAATGTCAAACTTAGTAGGGCTCGAACCTACAATATCACCATTATTTTTTGGGTGTTTTTGCTGTAACATCTAACCTTTTGAAAATCTATGGTGAAACTGGTTAAGAGTCTCAAAACAGACATCAACTGCTGAAGACAAATATATGGAAGCAACAAAACACTTCAAGAAACAGTACAAATAAGTACTAACATAATATCCCAAAAATTAATAATCAATTTCAGTGCAAAATATAAGCTGCAGCACTACAAGTCTACAATTAGGCAACTCTACTGATTTCAGCTGCAAAAAGGTAAGCTCTTCCTACAAGATCAAGGAGAAGTTCATTTAGCATAAATTGGATCCACAGCACTTCAGAAATTTTGGCACAGGAAGTATATAGTGCTGATCTCCTGGTGCAGTAGTATTATTATGTCAAATCAAGCAGCAGAATTTGGACCATAATTGGACTAGCAAAGCATTAGCTGTCTGTTTGAATCACCATATTCTCCCATGGCAAAAAAGCACTAGCACAATGACTTTCTTCAATTTAAGGCAAGTACTATATAAGCAAATTGCATGGTCCTGTATGGATTTTAAGTTCAAACTGTTTGCTGATTCCGTAGAATAAAAAATTATTGACGAAGTCAAGATGCCTCGATGCATTTCCATGTTTATCTTGCAATGATTAAACCCCCAAGAAAATGGCGGTTTACAAAGACTGTACATTGCAAAGTCAAGATGCTGCTGCCTCCTAGTTGAAAATTACACTTTAGAAGGCACAATATATAAAACAAGTAATCTATGTCATTCATAAAATCACCAAAGTTTTTGGACCGACATATATGATATATACACATTTTTAAGTCTGTAAAACTGAAATGAGTGGAAACTTCGGAACCAAATGTAGGAATTTGGAACATACCAAAGCGAAGAATTGGAATTTGGAGAGATATCAGGCTCCTAATAACCATGGCCACTGCCATCACATTGCAAAAGAGACGAAAATCATATTTTGCACCTTCTGAATTTACAGAGGCATAAATTTTCATCAAGTAGAAATATCTGCTTTTACATTCACTAAGCTCAAGCCTGTCCTAATAATCTTTTAGAAAACAACCATATAAAAGAATCAGGAGTAAAATTTGAAACTGAAGCACTTCTCTTAGTAGGGCTGTATTTTGTCCCGGGCCCGGGCCTTAGTGGGCCTAACGGGCCGGGCCTCGCGGTNCTACATCACTCTCAGCACTAAATATGTCACTAAGGGGCCATCTTCTAGCTTATGTTTGACGCTTGCACTTGCGTTGGAAAGAACTTCGAGTGTGAGTCCTCACCATTTTTCTGCCTCCAATACCTTCATCCCTAATCAGCACAAGGGGAGATTCCTCATGGATCACCCATATCAGCGTGCAGATAGGTTATGACACCTGGTGTTCAGTTTTGAGACTTGAGATTACCCTCGAAACATTTCCACTAATACTATAACAACTTCAGACAGCATATCATTAACTTCCGTGACACGCGCATCTTAAATACTTTATTAATGAAGAAGTGACGTATGAAAAAAAGGCAGCCCGGTGCACTAAGCTCCCGCTATGCACGCAGTCCGGGGAAAGGACAAACCAAAACGATCTATTGTAAGCAGCATGCCTTACCCTGCATTTTTGCAAGAGGTTGTTAAGTGGATATATTAAACAGCAAAAGAAACTGCGGGTTCCACTTAATAGATATTTACAATAACTTTAAAAATCATGGAGAACATATTTAAAAGGGGGAAATAGAGAAGTAATAGAAATTACCTTTTGTAAGTAGAGAACATATTAATTTTTCAACTTGTACGCTGTTCCATTTGTGCATATAGGGATACCATAATTGGATGGCGAGCATCATGCCATCACGAAAATCTACTCCCAGATGAGCAGCCATGTTGTACAGTATGTATAGTAAGGGAAGAAATAAAATATGACTGAAGCCAAAATATATTATTTAGCCAAACCCAGAAATCAAACGCTTATATGCTTTTGTGTGGGGTTTAAGCCCCAATTTCAACATCTCATCATGCAATCTCATTGCTTTTCTAAATTCCTTTTCCTGACATAGCCCCCTAACCATGATTGAAAAACTTTCACTGCTTAACATGTCATGAGTTCTCATGTAATCAAAGATCCTTAGAGCTTCTTCACGCCGTCTTGATTTAAACAACCTATCGAGTAGTATAGTGTAGGTCTTTACATCTAAAGCAACACCAAGTCTCTCTAGTTCAGTATGTAAAGAAATGGTAGAATCAATCCTTCTGCTAAAGCAATAGTGACGCACCAAAGAGCTACAACAAAACGATTCAAGCTGAAGTCCTCTCTGAAGAATAACATTCAGAAGCTCCTCAGCTTCTTTCCACTTACGCATTTCACACAGAGAAAAAATAAATTTAGACACTTGAGATATGGGAGGAGCGAATCCTCTTCCTATCAAGTCTTTCAACAAACCGCTGACTTCTTCTGATGGATTTTCGTTGCATAGGACACTCATGAAGGCACTATAGCATTTGTCATTGATGACAACTTTCCTGTCAATTATAATGTTGTACATCGAAATAGCATCGTCAACTATACCTTCCTTGGAAAGTGCCCTCAGCATAGATCCATAAGTGTTATCTTGCAGTTCAATCTTTTTTTCAGAAGCTTCCCTGAAAAATAATTCAGCTGCATATGTCTTTCCCAAATCAGAGAACTTCTGAATTACAGAATTGTAATCGGGCGACATAACTTTTGGAAAATGTCCTTTCTCCACCATGGAACTCAGCACTGAGTCTATTACTTCGGCATTTTGATATTTGCAAGCACCATTAAGAATTGAGCTAAAAGTACTAAAGGTAGGATCAATAGATTTCCCATACATATCATTTAAATATCCAAATGCAGCTTCAAAATTCCCTCTTTTGGAGTAACAGTCTATAAGTATATTATACATAACAGGACTACATAAACCCTTGTCAATAATAGGAACAATTTTCTCAAATTTCCCATCTTTACAGAGCATCTGAGCAATTAAGGAACAAGTAAGCACATTCTCCTGAACCCCATTCCTAATTATAGAACCATAATAACGCCAAGCCAATCTTAACTCATTCTTTCTATACAGCAAATTGAGCAGTGCATTGCAACTATCAGTAGATATAAAATACCCATATTCTCTAGCATTTCTATAAACTTGAAGAGCTTCAAAGAACAAACCTTTATTGCAATAACTATCTAGAACTGAGCTCAATACTGAAACCTGAATGTGAAAGTCAGCAGCTTTGAATGAATGAATCAAGAAATCAACAATTTGGGTTGGTGGGTATGTTTGAATGAGAGAATCCAATATGGGTTTTGCGGGTTTGGATAGTCCGGACCCGAGAAGTACATAAACAAGGGTACAAAGAATTTTGGCATCAGGTTGGAACCCAAGATTGTTCTTTGCATAGTGGAAGAAGTGTAAAGAGACTTGTGGGTTGGTTTTTTGGGTTTTGTGGAGGATTTGAAGGAAGAGAGATGGAGTTAATTGTGAGGAAGAAAGTTTGAGGTTCTTGAGAAGTGAAGGCCAGAGGTTTGTTTGTCTTTGTAAGAGAATAGAGGATATTAGGGAAACTAATTGGGTTTGTTTGAATTGGTTTCTCCAATCTTGGGACTTTGGTGTTGTTGTTACAGTGATTGCTGTTGTGAGTGAATTCTTGAAGAGGAAGAGGGCTCTAGAGGCAATGGTCATTTGAGTTATGGGTGCAAAGAGAACTGATTCAATTGGGAAGGGAATTGCAGAGTGAATTTTCTATGGGTAAATTGGGGGCAAATTTGTAATACATATCTATACACTATTGGAAACTTTATTACCCTTCCTAGCCAAGTTTCAATTTAATTACATCATATATACAAATTTACTAATTATATACACTTTAGGAATTAAATAAGTATCCTTTTATATTAGGAATCAATTATTTCTCATCCTTATTCTCTCTCCCTCATGCGCTCACTCTCTCCGTCTCTCTCTCTTTCTCTGCTCTCTCTCTCTCTACGTTTCTCTCTATCTCTCCATCCTAATTCTAGTAATGTAGAGTAAAGGAAAAGAGAGCAGCAATTCCACCATTGGCAGTCATTAAAAAGTTTTGAAACTTTGAACTCGAATTTAGGTTTTCAAAAAATATTATTTGTTTGAATTGGGTGTTGTTGCAAACAATTGGGAGTTCTTTCTACGTCTCTCTCTATCTCTCAATCTCTAATTCCAGTAGTGTAAAGCAAAGGAAAAGAGAACAACAATTCCACCATTGACAGCCATTAAAAAGCTTTGAATTCGAATTTGGGTTTTTTAAAATCATTATTTGTTTGGATTGGGTGTTATTGCAAATAATTGAGAATATGATTTGGAGTTTATATCTCAATTTTGAGGGTATTTTGGTGAAGATTAGACTTGATTTTCGCTGAATTTCATATTGAAACTCGAAGAAGAAGAAGAAGAAGAAGAAGAAGAAGAAGAAGAAGAAGAAGAAGACATGACATACATTATACTTACGAAATTGTAATAAAATTGTAGCACAATTTTTTCTGAAGAATTCGCCATGATATACCTGATCCATGCATAATATCATGCTGAGTGGACTAAAGCGGCGGATTGCTAATCCGTTGTACGAGTTAATCGTACCGAGGGTTCGNTTGTATTCTGTTGTTTATATATATATATATATTTAACTATTGTATGAAAGTTGAACAATATTGTATAAAAATTGCATTTAAGTTGTATGATATTGTAGTTGTATATAATTGAGTAGAAATAATGTATGAATATTGTAGATAAGTTGTATAATATAAAATTAGTTGTATGAAATTTATTTTTACTATGTCTAAATCAGATACAAAATATACAAAAGACATATTGTATAAAAATTGTATTTACGTGATATGATATTGTAGTTGTATATAATTGGGTAGAAATAATATATGAAAGTTGTAGATAAGTTGTATAATATAAAATTAGTTGTATGAAATTTATTTTTACTATGTATAAATCAGATACAAAATATACAAAAGACATATTGTATAAAAATTATATTTAAGTGGTATAATATTGGTGGATTTCAGTCGGGTCATTTTTTGGTAAAAATCGTGTGGGGTAGTCACTTTTTAAAATAATATTTACTTTTTATCCAGCATTTTTAATACTTAGCAATAGTAACCACTAGTCTATTAAAATTAATATGAAAAGATTGTGTACCCTTTCTTCTATCTCTTTCATGTATATTCTCGGCACAAAGTTTCTCATTCTCGTTCCTTAGTTGTGTGTTCTCATGGCGTTCGTGATGATCCTGGGCAAAATAATGAAAACAATGTCGTTGTAACAATTATTACATTGAATGCTGGAATTTAATGTTATTTTTAATTTTGTGTTTAGAAAATTGATGCTAAAATAGAAAAGACTAGCTAATTACCTTCATTTGAGTATGCTTGTTTTCGAACCAAAACTTAATTTGCAAAGGCTCTAACCTTAATCTTTTCCCCAACTCTTTCCTTTGTTTATCATCTGGATGAGGGCATTCTTTGAAAAAACTGTCAAATGACCAATTGATTAATTGTAATAACAACAACAACGTCAATAATAAACCCAGTATAATCCCACAAGTTCAAAAGTTAAGGACACTTGGTCCTGAACTTATACTAACAAGCTCAAAAGTTAAGGATTATAGGTTCTGAACTTACAGTTACAAGTTCAAAAGTTAAGGACAATAGGTCCTAAAGTCTTGAACTTAGACTAACAAGTTCAAAAGTTAAGGAAAAGTAGTCCTTAACTTAGAGTTACAAGCACAGAAATTAAGAACGGGTGGTCCTGAACTTCGAGTTCCAAGTTCAAAAGTTAAGGACATATAGTCCTGAACTTAGAGTTACAAGTTCAAAAGTTAAGGACATGTAGTCCTGAATTTAGAGTTACAAGTTCAAAAGTTAAGGACATTTGGTCCTGAACTTTATGAGCAGAAAGGGTGTTTTCGTCCGGGCAGGTAAAGTTTATTAAAGTAATGGCTAAAGACTAAAGACATTTTAAACAGTGGCTTAAAAGTAAATACATGTATTATTAGTGGTTACCCGTGCACTTTCCCCTATTTTTTGCTAGGACAATTGCCAAAATAGCTTAAACATTCAAAAATAGCTTAACAATTCAAAGATCATAATACCTCATATAACATTTATTTGGAGTGAAAAAAATAAGGAGTTGCAAAAAGGTAGAAGGTATTTCCTGGATCAAGAAGAGTAAGAAATCGGCGGGAAGCAGGAGTGAGGTCTACTATATTTTCAAATTAGATTTGTCATATCTTCAAAATAAGATGGATAGGAGAAATATACGTCAGTTTCTTCTCTTTCACTCGCTTGACATTTAGTTCCGATGAATACGCAGAATTGGTTGCTCATTTTCCCATTGTAAACATAAGGTCCAATATCAAAAAGAGAAAGTAGTTGATATATGTGGAGAGAATCGGGAGAGAAGAGGAAATAGGAGAGGAAAAAGAAAAAGGGTGTAACTAAATCCATTGATTGAAGACACAAATAATGGATTGGGAGGTGGATTGTATATATTTTGTAACTAAAATATGTTTAGGTTGGATAAATACCAATACATGGACATTTTTCGTAATAATATTTCAAATAGTGTATAGGAATGAAAAAATCTCATACATTAGATTTTTTTCGTAAGGCCCAAAAAGAGGGTTCCCGACAGTTTTTAGCACGTGAGTCACTAATGAATCCATGTGAGTGCACAAAAGCTATAAATCTACTTGCTTTTTTTTTTTGTCAGAAAGTTAACATATATTACTAGTGAATACGTACAGAGGGTTGGGGTCTAACTGGCTCCCTATTACAAGTCATGGTGCTAGATTCAAGCCATAAGTTACTACTACTATTTACAGTTTTCATGGTCATCCTATTGGAATTATCATCATGACAACTAATTACATCATAGGATAGTTGAGTCATGTTGCCACTATCATTATGCCAAGAATTTTGCTGGCCTGATTGACTCTGATCCATATAGGCCTTGTCTCTTTCAAAAACCGGTGCAACAAAAATGGGAACAGCTTCAAACACTCTTGGCAACCATGCATCTCCGAAATTGTGGCCTACTTTAGCTAGTTGGTCTGCTACCATATTTTGCTCTCAGTACGCATGTTTAACTGCTGGGTTACCTAGTAGGCCCATATTAGGGGTGGACGTTCGGTATTTCGATTCGGTATTTAAAAATTTTGGTTCGGTATTCGGTTTATCAATTGTGTATACCAAATACCATACCAAAATATTTTGGTACGGTTCGGTATTTCTTATTTTGGTTCGGTACGGTTTCGGTTTAACAATCAATGAATAATCAATGCTAACAGTGCACATGCACAATTGAAATTTTCACTCTAAAAGAATCTGTTTTCCGATATATAATAGTGCACAACTACACATGGCTGATCTGAATCTGATGGCACATGCACAATTGAATAAGTGAAAAGCAAAAGCTGAACAAGACAACAACTTCTTTACAATCTGCAGTTGCACGCCAGTATACTGTATATCATATTATACAATATTACAATCTGCATTCTGCACACCAGTATTAGTATACAAGTGAAAAGCAAAAGCTGGTCAACTGCACAATGCACATTACACAACTATATTAAACAACTTAAACACAGTTGACAGTTCTGTTCAATACTGCAATCAACTGGCCAACTGCACATTACACAACTTAACACTTAACACAGTACACAATTGAATCTGTACACAACTACACAACACATTACACAACTTAACACTTAACACAATACACAATTGAATCTGTACACAACTATACATTACACAACTTAATACTTAACACTTAAACACAGTGCAATAAAAACACAGTGTAACAAAAACAGTCTTAACACTTAAACACAGTGCAACTGGCCAACTGCAACAGTCTTAACAGTCTTAACACTTAAACAGTTAAACATAGTGCAACAAAAACAGAGAGGGCATCCCTCAACAAACAGTCTTAATTCTTAAACATGAATTCCAGGAAGACGCGCAAGACAACGCTTAATATGCTTCCTTAAACCAATTGTTCCATTCCTCTTTGGATTAACATTATATACTTGACCACAATGTTTGCACTCTACTTTGCGAACTTCTCCGTTATCTTCTTTCACCACAAATTATTCCTAAATAACGGAGCATTGAGCAGGAGCACGGGGCATGATTGCATTCAGAACACCTACACAACATGTAACAAGCATCTGCAGAACAAGCTATGTAACAAGCATCTGCAGAACACCTGAACAGCCAAACCATCTGCAGAACACCTGAACAGCCAAACATTTACACACTGCCAAGCTGCAATTGTAACTAAGATGCAGCAGCAACATCAGGAACACCTGAATAGCCAATTGCACTGTGCCAATTATATTCACACACTGCCAATGCCAAGAACACCTGAACAACCAAACCATAAACACAAATACACAACATTCAACAAGTTTGAGGTCTTGCAGCAGCTAAAAGATGCTAACAGTAACACAATATTGAGTCCATTAGCCCGCAGATTAACATATAGTCATATATCAGTCTGAATAAAATTGAAGATTCCACCAAGTCTAAAGAAGATTTTAACAAAATAGAAAGAGAAAACAAAATCTTTTTGTAATCATCTTAGTACAGTTTCTATCCAGTTAATATGATCTATCCAAAATTAATCAGAGTACTATGTCCATTGCTAAAGAATAGAGAGCAGCAACAGCAG